AATGCCGACTTTTACTTGTAAAAGGCTTCCCGACTACAGAAGTGAATGCACACATGGGCTTGCTTATCATTCCCCATTAGTGCTACGACGGACAAGCTTCCAATTTTGAGCTCACGATGAGCCATGTGTTGTCATTAGCATTTAGTGCACTTGAGGTTGCATTAGATCATCCCAAACGCACATCCAGAGCAATAAGTGTGAGTCGGGAGGCAAGCCTGTGCAAAAGACAGAGAATGTCCAGAGTTTGGAATCGTTTCACACTTTGAGGAGCTAAAGTGCAATATGCCTATTGTGCAGCACAACTAGTTTACGGTAAATTACACAACTGCACGTCTACTAATAACGAAACTCGATTCGCAAATCTTTTACCAAAATTATAAAATACTACATTGTGGATTTGGTCTGCCACTAGGATGGTCTGGAAAGGTAACACTGATGAATGAGGAATTGTTTTACTGAAAAGTGAGAAAGTCCGGGTGGGATATTTTGAGACCCTTTGCAGCAGAATTGCTTTACGGAATCCACCTTGAAAAAAGATGGATACATCAATGGACAGAAGTGTGACGAGCTCTGGAGTGTACCACTGGGACTGGCACCCTTACGAAAGGGTACAGATTGGGGATGTCCCGCTGGCACCCGAGTCAGAGTTTTTGGTTTCAAGTATCTACAGATCCCGAGTTCTGATCCGTCTCAAATTGATTTAGGAATTAATTAATGGACCCTCTCTGTCTTCCTTTGAGAATTGGATCTTGGTGGTCCTTAGCAGAGTTTAGCTAGTGTCAACATTCTGGATAAAAATTGTCAGGTTGTCCGTTTCTGGACCGCACTACCACAAAACGTCTCAAAGCTGTTGAATCATGATTTTCCCCCCTCTCGTTAATAATGTGACTCAACTCGGTTGGCATCTCGGTCTGACCCTTCCTAACCTCAGACCCTCAATACCCCCTCTGTTTGGGTCCCCACCCCCCTAGGCTGTAGGAACTGGGTGGGACCACTGGATGGTGTCTTCATCCTATCAGGAGACTGGGAGGAAAAGTGGGAACAAGAGTTCAGGGACTGCTGCGATGCCAGGAAGAGCGGGGGCGGCCAGTCCCCATCCTTAGTCCAGCATCGTCCCATGCGGTCTCATTCCCAACCCAGAGGCAAGGCGAGCTCCCATGAATTTAAGTTAGCACTGCTTTTTGATGGATTGATTTTAAGATTCACAAGCAAAAATGGAATGTACTGAACAAAAAGCGGGATTGGTGCCGGTTTCCTATTTCTGAAGGATTCCCCACAGGAGGTATGTAGTTACTTGTTCCAGCACCATGGTGTCAGATTGTTTTGATGCGTTGTTTGTGGTATTTGGACGGACGGTGATGGTCAATCAAACCCCCTGTGGCACCAAACACCATAGCTTGGTTCAGAAAGGTATCACTCTGAACATTCGCCCCCTTTAGGTAAGGAAAGGCAGCTTTATTTCTACAGTAGAGCACATTTCATACACCAGATAACTCAATGTGCTTAACGCAATTAAAAGTACAGCATTGAAAAGCAGTTTCAACCAAAAGCGTGAAAGACATTTCAAATTATTAATGGCCTGCACGATGTTCAAGATTTGGTAGAATGTATTTTTTTTAATGCTTTAAATAACCTTAATCATAGGTATGGGGGGGGGGAGCATAAATTTTAATCAGGATTTAAAAGTATTTACGCTGGCGGCTGACTTCACTTTAGTTGAGGTACAGTAAATCAGAAGTACGATATAAGGTGCACTTAAAATGAGCTTTTCTGGCGGCATATTTCCAACGGCATATTTCCAACGTTACAATGTGGGACTGGACCGGAGCAAAGTCAACTTCAGTTTACAATAGCTGCCAGGACCGAGCAAAAAAAAAAAAACCCCAAAAAATGTTTGATTAATGGTGAGTGCATTGACTTGTTTATAGCTGTTGAACTGTCAACCAAGATAGCATTTAGCATGAGCCAAAGTACAAGCACAGCCACCAGTCACTAGATTGACTACTGATGTTCATTTTTTTTCATCTGTCTGAGGGACCCCTCCTCCACTCGAAGCGACCCCCACGTAGTGCCGCAGCAAACGAAAGCAAGCGAGACACCCTACACAACCCGATGTTTCAGACCAGTCTGAACCTAGCATAACGATGCTAAATCTATCCAAAAAAAAACCCCGGTACAATTAGAATGAACTCTTTAATATACAGTATAATACGCCTTATGACTTTTGTTTAAGACCCATTCATTGATATTGTGCCTAATAAGAGAGTTCACCAAGTGGTCTGTAAGATGCGGTGGACGGCGCATTCTGGTCTGCTTCTATGTGACAACGGACCTTCAATTGTCATCTTGAAATAAACAGTAACACCCAAATAGAAAGAGCACAACACGTCAGACGGCCCCTCATTGTTGTTTTGTATACTACAGTTGACTTTGTTGTGTGCTAGACGGTGTCACGCGGTGTACCACCACAGTCCCATCGAAACACCCAGTGGTGGGAAACCCCATCAGATGATTTGAATTTCACAATATTTTCAAGTCGTGTGCGTACATTTCAGGCATTAGGTCTTCGTGAAGAATCCGTCCTGATGGCCATTTCATTTGTATTTAGTGGGTATGATTCTGCGCGAGAAAAATCAATGTGCGTTGGGAATAACGGCGTGAAAGCCCACAGATGGATGCGCGTTAATCACCAGCATGCCAATGCGCTAGAACTCCTTCGCTCCTTATCTGCCTGTCTTCTTGAAACGGACTCAACCTCGACAGTTTGAATTGGGTTGGACTGATGCTGTCATCATTTGATTGACAAGTGAAGATTGGAGTTTTACCGCATTATGAGCTTACCTGCTAGTTGTCTTGCAGCCCTCTTGAGCCACAGCTGACTGGAGAACATGTTTTGTACAGTGTGTGTGTGTGTGTGTGTGTGTCTATGTATATGTGTGTGTGTGTGTGTGTGTGTATTTTTCATGCCCATGGGGTTGTTTTGGTTTACTCTCCAGGTAGTTTCTGTTAAGTTTAAAATTGTAGAAAAAAATATTCTTAAATGATAAAACCGCTTCTGCTGGTTGTACCTTTTATGGCTTCTTTTTATTCCAGATTTTAATTGAATTTGTAAACACCCTCACACTTATTGTTAGCTCATTTTAAAAAAGTGTGGATGAGTGTTACACCTCCAGTTTTCATAACAGGCTTAAAACCTGTGCCTGGTGTGTTATTATACCGAAAGTGCTTCCTGTCCTCATTGGTACCTTGCAGCCCAAGTTGTTTTGATCGTACCAAGCCAGTCATCTACATTCCCCAGGCTGCTTGCCGGCCTGCCTTCTTGTAACCTTATCTCTATGTCCCCTTTAAATCCCCAAGTGCGTAACTTGACCTAAAATGCCCATGTCATGTACCAGAGGGCAAAGCGAGAGAGAGACTCTTCCCTTTCTGCACACCATAACAATAACACATGCTTCAGTGTGAGGGTTTTTTTTTTGTTTTGTTTTTGTTTTGGCACAGAGGCAAACAGAGAAGGGTCAATATATTTTTAAGCGCTCCACAGTGTGTGCGGTTGGGTGCAATAAATGTTTATGGAACAGAAAATTGAGTGTTTATGTAACCTTTATTTATGGTATGAGAATTTAAATTCAGGATGATAGTGATGACATTTAAAGGCATGAGGAAAATGGACAGATAGGTGCACCTAGTGCATCGCAACACATTTTGGCGGCAGGGCGTACTAGCCTCACAGTTCTGAGGTTGTGGCTCCGGTCCGTGCTTGTGTGTCTATATGTGCCCTGTGATTGTCCGGCATTCAGTCCAGGGCGTACACACATTTCGCTTGCCCAAAGTCAGCTGGGATAGCCTGCAGCTGTAGCACCCGAATAAAGACGGGCGGTATGGAAAAATCACCCACGCGATCCACTTTTTCATAAATTCATACACGTGCAAGATTCAGAAACAGTGCCACAACAAACGACGTGATGTCGATTTGTTCTCCTTTTGCAAGAATGTCAAGAGGAAGAAGGCTTTGCAGTGCATTCGGACAGTTGGTGTTATGAAATGGATGCATTCAGTGATTCGGTGGTTTTCGCTCTTTGAAATGGAAAACGGACCATTGTCGGTCTTTTGTTTTGACTGCTGGTAAAATTGTAATGGCGTTCGGGAAGTCTGTGGCTGAGCCTTGGCCTGCTCACAAAGAGAGACCCCGGAAAAGCAAGCGCTTGTCCTCAGGGTTCAGCACTTGTCATTCCCAAAAGTGACAATAAACAAAGCTTGTTGTTAAAATTCCGCGCACAGAGCTATGTATGCTTCCTTATCTGTCCGAGCTCAGTGTTTTCTTATGTAACAGTTCTGCTGACTTTGGTATTTAGTCAAGCGGTCCCGGCCTTATGTTTGTGTTTTGTTCAAATTCACAGCAGTAAATTTGAACAAAGCAGTCCAACGTTGCCACTATTACTCACTCACAAAGTGACCTCCTACAGCCTGCATATGAACAAAGAAATAGCCTCTTTTATGCTGCGATACCGCAAAATGGCAGTAACATTCGATCTTTCAACAAAATAGAGTGGGGAAAAGTTTGGAAGACTCTACACCGGCATCGCCGTACATGTCTTACGCCTCTAATACCACTCTCAAAGTCGGGAAGTTTACTTATTGACTTTGACTTCCAACATTCCGTGTTGGTACCGTTGACAGAGAACAGCGATATGGGGGGGCGGGGGCAGCTTTGATGGTTCGTGAGAAAGGGGCTGCAGACCTTGTCAAGCCTCTTTTAATGACTCTGATTCTATAGAAGGCGTTAAATTGTCCAGTCACATTTACTTCATCGTGCTCGAAAGCAGAGAAGGCAGGATGACCGGAACAGCTGAACTTTATTTGTGATTAATTAGCGGCAGTTTTAAGGATGGCAGTTGTGTGCTGACTATTCCTTAACATGAGTTTGAATGTGATTTTATTCATTCAGAGCACAGCCACATTTGCGTTAAGCCACTCTCAACTCTTTTTGGTCTTTTGTGCAGGCATGGAAGAAGCGGTGGTTTATGCTTCGCAGTGGCCGTTTGACAGGTGACCCAGATGTGCTGGAGTACTACAAGAATGACCACGCCAAGAAGCCCATCCGCGTGATTGACCTCAACTTGTGCGAGCAGGTACACACTTGTCCAATTTTTTCATTCGTATTACCGCAAATTCACCTTTTTTTTTTTTTACACTAAATGGTGGTGTGGAAAAACCATTACAATAGGTCATTCCACACTCCAAAATAAATAAATGAATAGAATGTAAATAACTCAGTACAGTATATTGTATGTGATGCCTCAAAACTCACTAAAGAGTTGCAGTTTTTTTTTTTTTTGTTTTTGTTTCAGTACCTCTGTAGATGGACGGTGCGCCGTTGCCGGTTTAAATTTTTTTGCGGCGGACCTTGCAGGTCACGTAAATATAGCCGCTGTTGAAAGTGCTGACGAATCCCATCCCTTGCCTCGCCCTAGGTGGATGCCGGGCTGACGTTCAACAAGAAGGACTTGGAGCACAGCTTCATCTTTGACATCAAGACCATCGACCGTGTCTTCTACCTGGTCGCTGACACGGAGGAGGAGATGAACAAGTGGGTGCGCTGCATCTGCGACATCTGCGGCTTCAACCCCACCGATGAGGGTAAGAACCATAGCCGTTACTGTACATTCCTAAATTGGAGCAATTTCGGTACTTTAGGCCCTCGCATGTGGGCAAGGAGAGCCACGATCACGATGCACTTTCGAACACAAAACAAAATGAGAACGATTGCAAGAAGCAACAACGGACTCTATAATACACAAGTAACGAGAATAAAATCTTCTTTTTAAGAGGGTGTATTCGATAAAAGGGTGTATTATTCACGGAAAATAGTGGTAATTCCAGGAGAATAAATTGGGTGGCTATTTTGTTGACTTCGTTTTTGTTAGACATTGTCAGTCTTGTAGGCCCTCGCATGTGGGCAAGGAGAGCCAAGATCACGATGCACTTTCGGACACAAAACAAAATGAGAACGATTGCAGGAAGCTTCAACGGACTCTATAATACACAAGTAACGAGAATAAAATCTTCTTTTTAAGAGGGTGTATTCTATAAAAGGGTGTATTATTCACAGAAAATAGTGGTAATTCCAGGAGAATAAATCGGGCGGCTATTTTGTTGACTTCGTTTTTGTTAGACATTGTCAGTCTTATATCGCGAGCGTCGGTTAAAAACGGCCGTGAGAGAGCGTGCGGAAGAATAAGCTGCTCGGGACAAACGTTCTCGCGCGCGGCGTTTCTCGCAGTTCTTCTCACAAAAGAAATGTCCTTGGTTCTCTCTTTTGCTCTCGCTCGCGCTAGTGATTGTGCAGGCCCACTCCCACTCTTTCCTTGCGTGTGTGCCACTAAAACGCTACATGATCGCGCTGACAATACGAGACGGTCGGAGAGCAGTAAGAGTGGGAGGTGTCGATGATCGACAGGCACCCTGTGATTCAGTGCCTCCGCCAACCGGCGGAGAGGAGACGGATGAGCAAGCCGTGTACCTTGAACAGCGGAGAAAAGTTGTCATCCAGAAAGTGGATAACGGCAGGAGGGTGGAAGTGAAAAAAAGATGCTCTTAGTTCTGCATTGCCTTGGCGTTCAGTCAGTGCGGGGGTTCGAAACCATCATTCCAAACGGAGTGTAAATTTGACATGATGATCTTCCAGTCAAAAAGTCACAACACATGGAAAACTTCCAAATCGGCATGTTGGCCTGTTCATCGATGTCTTTGTCTTCCACCCAGTCTTCTGATGTGACACGACCTCTCGGTCTTTAATTTCCTCCCACACGTCAAGAGCACGGTTGGACAAATAAAAGGTTGGAAAACTTAATTTCCTGTCCCCAACGCTTCCAAGTATCATCATGTGGCCTTTCTTCGTGTCATATTTAATGTCAAGATGGGACCTTCAGCATCTGTTGCAACCCAACACAAAACCCACATCATCTGCATACGTAAAATGACTTACAGTCGTATTGGCCAACTGAAAATCTGTATTAGTTAACAGATTGGTAAGTCATCTAAATCAGCGGTCCCCGACCTTTTTTGCCCCACGGACCGGTTTAATGCCAGACAATATTTTCACCGGCAGGCCTTTAAAAATACAACCACATAATCAAATGTTCCATTCCCACACCAAGATAGTGAACAAAAAGTCAAGAACAAATTAAAACAAAAATAAAAAAAAAAAAACATTTTTGTTCATGGAATAAAATGAAATGAAATTGCTTTTTAAAAGATTTAAAAAGAAACTTACTTGAGACTACAAATGATCTTTATAAAACAAAGTAAAACTGCAAATGTTGGGAAAATGTCCTTCCTATCTGTCACTTAATTTACATGAGCTTTTGAGGTTCATTTTAAACATATTTTGGTATTGCTGTACCTCCGTCGCTACAAACGAAGGAAGGTCAGTTGTTTGACAATTGTAGTTGACCTTTTTTTTTTCATCTTATCATCCTGATCTTGAAAAAGACTCAAACTAATCAACTAAACTAAAATGAAGCATTTTCCATTTTTAAAAAATAGTCTAAAAACTCAAACTCCATTGAAAAAAAAGTCAAAATGAAATTAAAACTACCGATAATGAAAAATCCCAACCTATTGTAAGTCTGTTCCACACGAGCTAAAATGGCCACCACCCTTTCTCTTCTCCTGTGTTTCAAGAGGCTGCCAAAGCTGGCCATCAGTCGGCCATCGGGGGCCTGGTGGTGGACACCCCTCCGCATACGGCGCTCGGCAACGTGATGGGATCGGCGGCGGCGTTGCTGTCCGCCGTGCCGCCTCCCTACCAACCAGTCAGCGTGCGACATCTTGACTCCCAATCCAGCACGGAGGAGCCCCAGGATTACTTGTGGCTGGTCAATTGTGAGAGCAAAAAGCCGGACGCTAACAGGTAACACCGCGCTGTTCTTCCTGCGCCGCTTCTCGTTCTTCCACCTTTCTTCATACCTGCTGCGCCTCGTGTAGCTCGGTGCCGCTTCGCTCGTCTCTGGAGGGCAACCGGGAGTATTTGCTCCTGGAGGAGTGCGAGAGCAGGACTCTTCCTCCACAGGCTAGTCTGTGAGTGGCCGGCCATTCAGCTTGAAAGTGCCTGCTTGGTGTGCGGTGTTTCGACCCAGCCAAAACTAATCCACATTTCCATAGCTTCCAGGAGATGGTTTTCTTCCATTTTGAAGCATGTTTTGAAATTAACCAACAGCATTTCAGTGAGGAACATGGTCTTTTCCATCCTGGGATGGCCAGGAATTGTTACGAATGTTGTTGGCCGTAGAAAGAAAGCCTCAACATTCACTTATATAAACTTATATTAAGAATCTATGTTGATCCACAAAGTACATCACAGTGATGATAGTCCGGTCGACTTGGACGAATTGATGACATCCTCAGTTACACAGGCCCCATCCCTTGACCCCTCCATCCAATCGCATTGGGGGGTGTCAAGAGTAAAGCTCCATCAACGTTCGCCTCAACTCAAACGTCCACCCCCGTGCGTTGTCCTCTCAGAGCCCACGCTGAGTGTTCCAAGTCTACCTCCTCCGAGACGGACCTGAACGACAACCTCCCGTCGCACCGAACGCCCACGTCATCCACGTCGTCGGCCAAGCACAGCTCTCAGAACGGCTTCTTCGCCGGGCACCCGGCCCCGGCCTCCGCTTCGTCTCTGTATGACTCCCCTCCGTCGCGGGGCGCCTCCCTCCTGAGTGACAACGGCCTTTACCACCTACCCCGAAGCTACTCTCAGGTAGGGGTGCCAATGGGTGGGAAAGTCCCGGTAAATTTCCAGTGAATCTGGGAAATTTTCATTGGAAGCCAAACGCATTCATGCCTTGACTTGCAAGCGCCCCATTGTATGTACACTGTATATGTGTGTGCATGTACAGTGGCATGAAAAACGTTGGGCACCCCTGATAAATTTCAAGATTTTCATTTCTGTCATTTTTTTGTTGACATATATAATTGACTGCTTGACACCTTTTGCGTGGATGTGTTTATCATGACTCAAGTTTTGTTATCCATGCGATGACCAGGGGAAAAGGATCAAGCATGTTGCTAGCGCGGGGGGTTGTTAGCTTAGCGTTCTGCGAATCTCCCTCTCCCCTCCCCTGTCTATAAAGTAATAACCGTTTTAAATCAAGCTAAAGTAAACATAAGTAAGAGATAAGGGACGTATTTATTCACGCTTTGAATGTGTGCGAAGATCTAACGCAGCAAAGGGGTGGATGCAGCAAATGTGAGGCTGCGGCAAAATGACTATGCAAGAGGCTTGAATTTCACATATTTCCAAGGTCACTTTGTACTTGACAAAAAGAAGAAGAGTGTTCAAGAATAAAGCATTCAAAGCGCAGAGATGAATAGGAATGACGGTCGTTTGGAGCAGTTCTTTTGGGTGTGGAATCAAGGCTGGAAATCGGTGATTAATCGTTTTTATTCAGTGTGATTTCAATATCAATCAAAATAATCATGATTATGACTTTTTTTTTCCATAATTGCCCAGTCCTAGTCAGCATGGCCCACACTCCACAAGGAACTTCACAATGCCGATTGGATTAAAAAAAAAAAGTTGCAAAATGGAAGTGCCTTGACTTAAAACTAGCTTAAATCCAAACTCCTAACCTAAATCACTTATATTTGCGATCATTTGTCTCCATAGAAAGAAATGGAGATGCTATTAATCTGATACACCCTTTAATGTCCTTCTCGTGTGCATGCAATTCCTGGTTTATTATTCCCACAGAAAATTTCCCACTTGAAATTTCCTCAAAATCTTGCCTCCCCCTCTCTTAGGACACCGTGCTTCTCCCCAAATCGGCCTCGTCCCCCACGGCCCACCCGGATCTCGGCGGCGAGGGCTCCGAGCTGTACGTCTTCAACACGCCCTCGCGGAAGGCCTCCGTGGAGTCGCAGATGCGCAACCTTTCCATCAGCTACGACATCCCGCCCACGCCCGGGGCGAACTCCACCTACCAGGTCCCCCGCACCTTGTCGTCCTCGGAGGGCGGCGGGGACGTCGTGCCCCCTCCCAGGCCACCCAAGCCCACCTCCGGACCCCCGCCGCCCCACGCCGAGCGCTCCCCAACAGACACTTACTACTTGCCCCGCTCGGCCTCAGAGACCGACGGAAACTACTGTGTGCCAACAAGTGCCGGGAATAAAGCTTTACGCAGCAACACTATCGGAACTGTCGACTGTTCGCGGCTACGCAAAGGTTCGTATTTCTCGGATATTTATTTATTTGGGGAATCTGCACAGGAGCGTTATCAGGCCCATATTGACGAAAAAAAGTATTATTCTGATATCCTAATTGCCTCAATAATTTTTGAAGGTTTTCGGAAAACAGAAAAGGGAAAAAAAAATCAACAAATGGGTCCAGTTTCCTCAATACAAGGGTTTCACAAATTAGCAGGATCTGGATGACTGAGAATCTACACAGACATAAAGAAAAATAAATTCTGTTGATCTTAAAATTGTAAAACTACTTTTTTTTTTTTTATTATTATTATTATTATTATAAAATGTTGACTTTAGTCTTGCCGTTATGTTGATCTTAAAGTTGTAAAACTACTTTTTTTTTTTTTTATTATTATAAAATGTTGACTTTAGTCTTGCCGTTCCTCCTCGTCATCTTCCACCTTGTCCTCCTCGAGGTGTTGTCATGAGTGTTGGTGGTGCCATATGATGAGCACTTGAATCATCTGTGTAAGCAGATGGCCAGTTCTCATCTGCGGTTGAACGCTTCGCGCAATGTGTTAAATTGTGTCAAATTTCCTATATTCCTGGAATTCAAATTAGTATTATTATTATTGTTTTGTTTTTTAGATTTTGGTTCCCAGGACTGCTACGACATTCCCAGATCATTCCCATCTGACAAGAGCTGCTCATTCGACTTCAATGAAAGTTTCAACAGCTACTTTGTGAGTTGGACACTTCCACAGCTACTTTCTGACTTGTATGGTATGGTTAAACCCCCCTCCCCCAAAAAAAAATCATAATCACCCTCACATTATTTGGACGTTTGTGTTCGCATGAGTTTATTTTGAAAGGAGGACTGAATAGACATCTGAAATGTCACAATCCTGTGAATGTTGGGAGATTTGCCAAATGCACACATAGGAAAGCTTTTGGATGAAAATCAACATCTTTTGAAGCGATCGGCTTTAAAATCCTTGTCGTAACAGCAAATGACTGGTGTTTTCTAGAAAAACAAAGGCATGGTACCCGTGGGCAGTCAGTCCACTGAGGACGTGGACCAGAACTACGTTCCCATGAGCGCCAATTCCCCGTCCCACCACCACTCGGGCAGCCTGTCGGAGCCCGTTCACGAGACCAACTACGTGCCCATGACGCCGAGCACCATGGAGTTCTCCTCGCTGGGCAAGCAAGTGCCGCCACCCGCCCACATGGGCTTCCGTTCCAGTCCAAAGACGCCGCCGCGGAGGCCCATGCCCAGCGACTGCCAGCCCCCGCCCGTGGACCGAAACCTCAAACCGGATCGCAAAGGTGGGCCCATGCCATACAGCCCATCTTGCCGCTACGGTGGTACCTCCAAGGTCCGACACATCCCCATATTCGATTTGGTTCACTGTATGGGAAGTGTTTTATGTAACCGTTTCACTTCATCATACAAGTAGAAGTCACTATTAATAGATTAGAAAAGATACTTGCATCACGATTGACATTTGCGTTTTTTTTTTATGCCACTTTAGTCTCATCAAAATGCAACCTTTTATTCTTAATCTTAATTTTTTAAGCAATTCATGATTTTTTTCATTCTTTTAAAGCTCTTAAAATCTAAATTGTTCTCTCTGGTACCACTTTAGGCTAAAACCAACGATTTTATTTTTTTTAATCTCGTGAAATCAAATCCTTTTTCTCGTAAAATGTCAACTATTTTCTAATATTCCAACTTTATTCTTGTCAAATAAAAATGAAATTGCAAAATTATTATTTTCTTTCTCATTAAATTACAACATTTATAAATTGTAAAATGACCTATGTTGTGTATGTGTAATATTTTGAATTTAATAGCGTAAAACTATTATTTATTATTATTATGTTAAACGTTTTCATTCCAAAATAACCTTTTTATTCCGCAAATCTAGCCATGCCTCCATTTTTGGAAGGTAAAAATGTACCTGCTTGTTTAATTTCACACTCGCTGGTTGAGCAGGCACTTTGGAGAGCTAATATCTTGATACAAACAATATAAAAAGTAAATTTTCCATCAAATGAGCGCTTTGCAGGAACTTGAAGGTACCACTGTGCATTGTTTGTGGGGGTGCTTGCCTGGTTGATGTGTGCCGAATTTACAGTACACGTCGCTGACCAACCATTTGTGTTTGTGGCCTAACCAATTTGTGTGTCTGCTTCAATGTCAGTTCTTAATGCTGTGAGTCCCAAATGCTCTTACTTGCCCATCTTGTCACACCACATGAATGAGTTTGGACGCTAGGTGACATCCTCTGAGAAGCAAAGACACACTGAGCTCCTTGTCAAAGGGCTCCTGAAACCGAGACCCTGCAGACTGTTTGGCTAGAAGCGGCCGGAGGTGGCGGCGAAGGGTTGCATGGGGTATTAGGTTGTTTCCTCGTGCCATGGGGTGGGTCAACTCGGAGTGGTCACCTTCCATCCCCTTTGTTTCCCCGCTCGTGAATGGAGTTCTTTGATGAGGAAGCCCATAGCGAGGGGGAATCGGCATGTGGGCCGAACGCTGAGTAACGGGGGTGGGGTTCAGAGAGGACATCAAAGTCGCATACGGAAACCACAACGAGGAAATGGGACTTGGGCGAGGCTTGAACCCTAATCCCTCGAGGGGGCAACGGTACCTGTATTCAGATTTTTGTGGTACAGGTTGCACAGTTCCTACAAGGAACGTAGTAGCCAAGTGACAGGAAGCGTAACTGCCCGTGCACTTAAGGCACGTGTCAATTTGGTAAACAACCAAGCAGCTCACCGTCTGCAAAATGGACAAAACTTTTGATTCTTGAATTATTTGAACTATATTTTTAGGTTAAATGACAACATTTATTCTTGTATTATTACAACTTGATTTTCATTCAATTCCAAGCCTTCGAAGTACTACTGTTATGAGGACTCTTCTCATTTTTTACTTGAATACCTAATTTCAAACTAAAATATACAATGTTGTGTGTTTGAAAAGATGCACATTTTTCCCCTCTCACTATTATAAACGTAATTTTCAAACTAAAATATACAATGTTGTGTGTTTTTAAAGATGCACATTTTTCCCCTCTCACTATTATAAACTTGTCATATTCAACATTATGTTATAACTTCCTTATGAAACTACAACTTGCTTCTTATTACGGCTTTTGATCAAATTGCTACTGAACTCTCATAAATTTACACCTGATATAAAATTATGACTCACCCATCATATTATCGATAACTTTTTCTTGAAACATTCCAACATTACACTTGTATAAAATTGTTGTTTTTCACTGAATATTGTGACTGTTTTTGTCAAATTATTCCGCGAGTCAATTTATGTTTTTAAAATGTTCTTCATATTCTGACTTTATTCTGCCCTTAAAAATGCACCGTAACACATTTTTTGCGTCATCATTCTCGTAAAATTCTTCTTCTTGTTATATTCTGAATTTTTCTTCTGACTTTCTATTCTAGTTACATTGCAACTTTAGTCACTGTACATCTATTCAGACCAAACCTATTCGAAAAATGAAGGACAATTTAGCCTGTCTCAACTATTTAGGCAATTTACTTTTGATGGACCAAGTTAATGATCCAAAACATTGTAAATTGTCAATCTTGCATGAGCGCCATGTGCATGTCAGTTGAGAACACGTCACTTTTTTTTTCCTTGCCGCCATACGCCTCCGAGGACTCGCCGTGCTTCGGCACAGCTCCTCATGCATGCACAGCTGTGATGTCAGTCTTTGTGTGGGAAGCCGTGTGGTGCATGTTTTTTTTCCGGGGGCGGCGAAGGGGCAGCATGGCTCTTGTGTTGTCATGGCGATCATAATCAGGGGTGGTGTGTGTGGTGGTGGGGGTTGATTTGGACGTCGAGCGGCTTTGCATGGCAGGGAAGTTGGCAATGATGTGATTTGAAATGATTCAGTCTTCTTTCGCCAATCAGGTCAGAGTCCGAAAGTAATAAGAGCAAAGGGTGTCGGTTTAGAGCGAACCGATTCCCAAACTGTAGGAGAGTTCCCGCGGGGAAGACGCAAGGGTAGGTACTCCTCACTGAAGCCGTGAAGTCCTCTTGTCTTTCTTTTGACTTATTTGCATGTTGACAGTGGTGTTTGGGTTCTGTCGTGACTGTCACAAATGACCGTACAAAAATTTTTGCCTCGATTTGGTTCTGAAATCGTCACCCGCTCCCTTGTGTGAGGGGGTTACATTTGACACCGTCGTCACTAACTCTTTGCTAACACTCACCAAAATCACCCTAAAAATCAGATTTTCTCTGTACTTGTGTATAATACAGTTTAGCTGGTATCTTTTATAATCTGAGTGAATAATATGCATAAATAAAGATTCAAAACATTCCAATAAAATGTAGATGCTTTTAAGTACTGGTTTAACAACGGTGCTCTCTTCCCCAGACCTTTGATAAGGTCTTTCAACTTTCTTTGCTTTGAAATCTATTTAACGGTTTGTAACTACGTTTCAATAGTGTACATTTAATTGCAGCATGTGAATCGTTTTGAGTTATGTTGTGGATGAAGCGCGCTGTGAATTAGTGATTCAATATTTTTTACAATCTCGAGGTACTACCTTGGTTTTGGTGAACTAAATAATGTGACAACTTTTGGGGGGCGCGGAGGGGGGCGGTTACAAACGAGAGCCATTTACTGAATTTTACAGTCCAAAATAGTATGACTTATTGAAGTCCCTCCTCTCAGTTTTACATCATTACTTGGCACCAAGGTTTCACCAGATGGCTGCAATGTGATGTTTTTGTGTGAAAAAATATTCACAAAATAAACACAAACACTGAAGCTTGTCCACGGATACGTCACGCAGAGTGTCTAACAAGTTAGCTCAGCAAATAGCCGGCGAACTCTACTCTCATTCGCTGAATTGCGCATCACTCAACAAGCCAGACCACGCCTTTTAAAACTATACTCACTCAGTCACAGATTGTCTGTCCATTTCACCGCAGTTACTTCGTCCCAAAATCTTATCTTTTTAAGTTGCCTTACATTTGACATAAAGTGAAATATACCTCCAATGATGTTTAATATTATTCCATAAATAACCCCTCATCGAGTAAATAACTATTGTTTAAAATATTGACTCGAGATGAAAAAATGACATCCCTCGCATGCTTGCATACCTGACACGTCAGGCACAAACGAGGCTTGCCTCAAATTAACCACCCACTAACGTTGCCTTGTTTTGCTTCATATTCCAACGAAGTTGGCCGTCGTGTTGTGTCAGTGACCCGTTGTGCGTTTTTTCAGGGAAACCCGCTCCACTGGAGATCAAACCCTTGCCTGAGTGGGAGGAGCCCTGCACGCCGGTCCGCTCGCCCGTTACTCGCTCCTTCGCTCGGGAGTAAGTGTGCAACAGTCGTCGATGTACAGTATTCATTTATTTTTTTTTCCATTGGTAAAGGTGACTACAACCAAGGGTGTGTTCACACAATTCGGACATATCATATATTATGTTTCCTCAAACGTATTACCTCATCAATTAACTGTTGAACAAATAATCCCCTTCACTTTAAATGGATAGCGCTTTAAATAAATACATACTGTATGCTTCCACTAGGTGGCGGTACTACAATTGTCATCTGACTCGTCTTTCCATTTTCTGATGATCAATGAAATATTATTTAGACACTAAGAGAGAGAAAATTTGTGGATATAAAAAATAAAAACGCCCGATAGTCTCTGCAGTTGGACAAATTACAACTTCCGTCCACTCCCTCAGGAATATGGCATTGCAGTGTATTTTTTTTTTTTTTTTTGCTAAATCAGGAAAGCATGAGATTTGGTCACTTTCTTCCTTGAGTTTTTTTGTTTTGTTTGGGCCGGGAAAAGACCCCGGTGTGAACACATCCTTTTTTTTTTTTTTTTTTAAATACACAGTTCTGTAGTAGATACTAAAGCAGCCACTAACCTTTCATGCATTCGTGTAGTTGACTTTGGTGACCACAGCACGGCTCGTCCCAGGGATCCCCCGCAACGTTTATGTAACACTGCGCGCCGAGCGCTATTTCTGTGTCGGATGTCGCAGGAGGCTATTGCGGTCTCCTGTTTTTGTGTTCGCCATAAAGGGGCTGTGTGTTGACTCGGTCAGTGTGTTTGTGTGTGTAAACATTGTGAATGCTGCTCAGTCTCTCTAGGTTCCCCATGCCCGCCCGGCCCCCGTCAGTGCATAGCACCGCCTCCAGCACTGACTCCGAGGACAGTGATGAGAATTATGTAGCCATGCTCTCTAATATGAAGAACCAGTCAGACGAACCAGTATGTAACACACAACTACTCCTAACAACTATCTACGTATGAAATACATTGTACTCTTGATTTGAATTTTTTCAAATGTGATCTTTTGCGGGGTTGTTGCTAAATGGCGGTGCCTCCGATTTATTCAAATAGGTCGTCAATAACCTTTATTATAAAGCTGAACGATTTTTTTGGGGTGGGGCGTATTTTTTCTAGGTATGTATTTTTCTACAAATTCATCTTGCACTCAATAATATTGAATCTATTGTGCATTCTAGTGTACCAAGATGAAGGCATCAGTTGTGACATCACACATATAAGACTCCACCAATGGATATGACACACAAATTTATCCTCGCAATATGTGACCGCTGACAGGCACTTAAGCTGTCCCCGCAGCAAATTTCATTCACTTTCGCCGTTTATTGGATCTTGCAGGGACCACTGAATGCATTTTTCTAAAAAAAAAAAAAATAAAAAAAAAATACTTTGTAAAGTGTACAAGACATATGACGAGAGGTCCCCCCCCCAAAAATAAAAGGCATCACTGTTCTCATTCCCAGACCAGAACTTAAAATGGCCGTCGAAATTGTCAACTTTCCGCCATCATTGCATCACAGACGTTCCCTGAAAGAGACAGTCGCCCAATTTTCGAGTCCCTGCTCATCTCCCAAAGCCAAACATTGACAGTGTGGTGGACACTCCAGACGGACTCCTCCCCCCCCGCCCCCGCCCCTCTCGTTCTACTTTGCTTTTTATTCTCTTATTTCTATTCCTCTTGCTTTTCAGGTTTTCAGTTCTAGGAAGAAATCTTTTGTTTTGTTTTTGTGTGCGTGTTTTAACTTTTCTCCCTGAATGCAATGCCTTCTAACGCATCCGCAAAGTCGATGTTGCGTTCCTGTTTTTGAAACGCTTTTTTTTTTTTTTTTTTTTCCTTTTTCCAGCCACTCACCACCTTCCTTGCCGCTCAGTAATCCCTCATGGTCTTCATTTCTTTGCCTTCATTTGTTTTTACCTGCTCTTCTCTTCTTTCCTCCGGCCGCCCCCTTCCTCCCACTTTTTTTTTTTTTTTTTTTTGTTCTTGGTGAGG